TTCAAGTGTTTCTCCCAACCTTCGCTGGCTTTTCTCCCCTCCCTCTGTGTGTTCCGAATCTCTCCGTCTCTAGCCATGGTTGATGAGTTAACCTATTTCTTAAGGTGTTGATTAGTTAAGTCTGTCTGCACCAGTTAACCTGCTGTATAGATAGGCTAATGTCCACAGAGACGTTCCTTCCTAGAATTTTCATTTCCTATTTTCCTGGAGTTCTTTTTTTTAATAGTTTATTGTGATAAATTATAAATAACAAAATTTTCCATTTTTATAATTATTAAAAGTACAAGCCAGTGGCAGTAATCACATTGATAATGCTGTGTAACCATCACCACCACTATTTCTAAAATTATTACATCACCCCAAACAGAAATTTTTGGTGAGCTCTATTTTTGGTGGCATAGTCCATAGGAAGTCTTGCTGCTACTTTAAAGGCTATGTCTCTCTGGTTGTTCAAATCCACCAGTGACTCCCAGGGAAAAGATGAGCGATCTCCACCCACGCAATTTACAGCCTCTGAAAACTCAAAGGAGGTTCAGTTCAGAAGCAGTTGTGACTTAACAGCAAAGAGTGAATTTTAAACAACTCCTCATTCTTCCCCTCCCCTGACCTATGGTAACTTTTAACCTACTTTGGTCTCTAGGCATTTGCCTGATATAGACATTTCATAGGGAAAACTGGCAGCCTAATGATTAAGGAGTTTCACTGCTGATCCCAAACCAGGGACTTCAAATTTACCAGCTGCTCCTCGGGAGAAAGATGGGGAATTTCCCCCCTGTGTAATTTATAGCCTGCGAAAACCTAGTGGAGGGTCAGTTATGAGTCAATTCCAACTCAATAGCAATGAGTTGCTGAGGCATTTTATATAAGTGAAATCATGTGTCCTTATAATGGACTGCATTTAGCACATTTTCAGAATTCATCTATGTTATCAAATGTGTTAGAACTTCATCTCTCTTTAGCATGAGTTGGCTTAAATCAGTTCCAACTCATAGGAGTCTCATACATAAAAAAGGTAGAACTGTGCTCCATAGGCTTTTCAATCGTCTCTTTTTCAGAAGTGCATCCCCAGGACTTTCTTCTGAGACACTGCTTGGCAGACTTAATCCCCCATCCTGTCCATCAGTGGACAAATTGCATTGAGAAACTCTGCTGTCAGGAATCACTCCAAAGAGCAACAATGTCAGTCTGGAGACTAAGGTGCACCTGATCCAGGCCATGGTCTTTGCAATTACTTGCTATGCATCAGAAAGCTGGACAATGACTAGGAATGACAGAAGACTTGATGTCTTTGAGTTGTGATGCTGGAGAAGAGTGTTGAACCTACCATGACTACTAAGAGAGCAAACAAGTCTGTCCTGGAGAGGGTAAAGCCAAGCTGCATCTTGGAGGCACAGATTTTGAAGCTCCGTCTCACATATTTGGGGCACATAGCCAGGAGGGACCAGTCTTTTGAGAAGGACATTATGCTTGGAAGGGTAGAGAGGCAGCCCAGGAAAGGAAGACCCTGGGTGAGATGGACTGACATAGTAACTGGGTAATAGGGCAGGTGAGACTGGCAGTGAGAGGCAGTGAGACAGGCTCAGGACAGGACAGGATTCAGAGTCATTGTACAGAGGGTCCCTAGGAGCCACAACAGCCTCAATGGGACATAACAACAACATTTTGCCTTCATGCAATACACACTTTAATGATCATTATCTTTTCCCCCCTATCTTCCTTTCAAGTTGTGATTTTTAGTGAAAATGTACAGAAGGATTGGGTTTTCATTAATTAATTGTTACACATTTTCCTCCTTTCCCTCCCCCAATTCACTTATAATGCATGGCTTGTTTTTAATTGTCATACATAAAATATTTAATCATCCATTTCTTTCAGATAATCTTTCCATTTACCATTTCAGTGTAATGTTCATTATCTATCCATTCTTTTCCTGTTCTTCTCTCCCTCTAGACCATTATATTTTTATAAGTCTTACACAGTATTTGTCCTTTTGTGACTGAGATATTTCATTCAACATAATGTCTTCCAGATGTATCCATATTGTAAACTGTTTTACAAGTTCACCGTTTTTCAATGCTGTATTATATTCCGTTACTTACAAAATTTGTATACGTTGTTTACCCCAGTTTTTCTGTCCATTCATTTGTGGATGGGCACTTGGGCTGCTTCCATCTCTTTGCTATTGTGAAATAATACTACAATTGTGGTAACTGTGTATATAATCCAGAGACTGTTAATTTTTCATTAAGGTTCAAAAATAATCTATTTCATAACACATTTTGTTCCTCTTTTCCCTTGCTGATGGAGACCTGGGCTATTTCCATCTTCTGGCTATTTTGAACACAATGGTCACTGGTACGCTCATTTGTTTTTTGAGGTTTTGTTCTCAAGTCTTTTGAGTATGCCTAAGAGTAGAATTGTCAGGCAAGAGATAATTTTGTGCTAGCTGTTTTGAGGAACTGACACCTGGAGATCTCATGCTCATTCTTCAGGACTGGGCTTATCCATAACTTCTTTTGAGAAATCTTCCCTTTTGGTTTTTCTTACGCTGGCTTCTCACTAGGCATGACATACTAGGCTATGTATGTGCCTTTCCTAGCGAGTCTGTGAACTTGAGAACAGAGATCGTGTCTTAATCATTTTTGCATTCCTGTGCCTACTACCAATCTGGGCATATTATCTGAACTAAAGGAATTCTGTGATGGCTTTATAAATGTAAGCAAAACCCTCAAAAAAGAGTGATTTTGCTGAGTGATTCTGAGAGTGGCTTTGCTGAGAGTTATCAGGTGACTGAGGCAAACAGGAGTTTAGAAAGTCACAAGGAAGGGCATGAGGACCCCTGGCTCAAAGGCATTGCATTTTCTAAGGAACTGACTCTTCAACTAAAAATTTAGTAGGTGGGACCCCTGAAACTTTGTGGTGAAGTTCTATCCTCTAGTGCCTGTGAACTTCTCCTGGTTTGGAAATAGGGTCTTTGACGATCTTGCCACTTAATAGAAGGTCATAGAAGAATAGGAGGGGCCCTACTTCAACGTGAAGGAGCCCTAGTGGCTTAGTGAATAAAGTACGATTGCTAGCTAAAAGCTGAGTCCTTTGAATCTACCACCTGTACCAAGAAAGACAGTCTCCTCACCACAAGATTTACAGCCTCAGAAACCCCATGGAGGGTCACCATGGGTCTGAAATGATTCAACGGCAGTGAGTTTGTGTTTATTCCCCCCCCCCCAGTTCAATCTAAGTGATGTCCTCATAAAAGAGAAGAGAGAATGAGAAACACAGAGGCAACATGGTTCTGCCAATGCCGTGGATTTAGGCTACAAGCTTGCGGCACAAAGACAAGAAATTTCTGCTTTTCTAAGCCACACAATGTGTGGTAGTTTTTTAAATCACAGAAACAAATACAAGTAGTAAAAAATACCCTAAATGTGGGAGCAGAGAAAGGAAAGAAACTTATCAAAAACAGTATCAATATTCATAGGTAAATCATTAGCTTTTGACCAAGGTCAAAACATCTTAATATTTTCAAGTGTGTCCTTTTTGCATTAGGCCTGGATGACTGCCCTGTGTTTTTGCCCCACTCGCACCTCATCTTCTTCAAGCAGCCAAGAGTCAAAGCAGGTCTAGCTTCCAGGACAGTGGGTTCCCCACATGAGCACACAGCTTGGAGGCACTTTCCCAGGAAGATGCTGAGGCTCTCACGACATTGGGGTCCCTAAGATCAAACCTGAACAGAAGATAAGGCTCTGAGGATGATGTGATTCAAAAGCAGCAGAGGTAGGCTTCTTTTGAGAGCTGGCTTTTTCAGCCACAGCAGCTTCTTCAGAACTGCAGCCACAGCTTCTCCCTTTAGCTTTCAGTTTCATTCCCTGAACCCTTACCACAGCAAGGAAGCAGGAGATACTGCTGGTTGCTGTGTACCACGGAAGGCAGTAAATCACACGGGAGGAGATTGCCTATCTTTCTCCCATGGAGCAACTGGTAGATTTGAACTGCTTACCTCTGCACTGGCAGTGTAATTCCTTACCACTAAGCCCTCAGAAATCCTCTGAGAGATATTTAGGAAGATTAAAGGTGAGAAAGATTGACACTATAGGGTACCAGTAGGAATGAACTCGATGCAGTAAATTTAAGTTTGGTCTAGAGGAAAGCCAGAATAATCAAAACACAGCAGGAATAAAAAATAAATGCCTTAATCATGCTATAGAGCTAAAATGGAATTCAGTTAGTATGTAGACACTTATTATGAGGAGGAGGCTCTGTGTGTGTGTGTGTGTGTGTGTGTGTGTGTTTTCAGAGGTGCTGACAACTGCAAATCTAGGCTCGCTCTGGGCAAGAAAAGATCCTCCCAGAGCAAGCCCTAGACACCAAGCAGAGTAACGGCACCTTCCTTCCCTCATCACTCCACATCTGAGCCCCAAAGATCGGAAAGGATTAACATAATGAAAATGTTGGCTCCAAGCCCAGAGGTGTGTCCCTGGACTTGTCAGTGCCATCTTTCCAGGCAGCGGGTGGCCATCCAAGGTGGAGTTCCTGAGTCACACCAGGGTATACATCCAGCAGACGGGGCCCCACGCCCTTTCAGTAGAAGAGGAGGGCCCACTTATCCGTGAGGAGGGGGTAGCCTTGATGGTGGAAGTTTGGAGACCCCCACATGGTGGAGGATTGGGACTATCCGAAGAGTCCATGCGCTCATAGCTTAAGGTGGCCGGGGTTCATCTGGATGGAGAGGGCTAGAAAAGTACGGATAAAAAGGATCAAGTTGTGGATGGATAGAGGGTGCTGGGGACTCCTGAATGGAACGGACTGGAGCGCGTCTGGATGGAGAGACTGGGGTGATTTGGGTTGGACAGGCCTGTGGCACTGCTAGATGAAGAAGGCTGAGGCACCCTGGATGGAGGGGTGCTGGCCCCCGGGCCCCTGGCTGAGGGCAAATGGCCCACACCCCATCCTTGGCCTGGCCATCCACCTGCACACACCCCACCGCTGGCCTGGCCACCCACCTGGGCACGCCCTGGCGTAGTCGAAGCAGCAGTCCCCGGTGAGGAGGCAGGCTTGGTCGCAGAAGCACGTCCCGTAGACCCGGTCCAGTCTCCAGCCGCTGGCAAAGCAGGCGGGGTCCCTACCCGGGCAGCAGCGCCCCGCCTCGGCGCAGCCCGCCAGGGTCCCCGGCCCCAACCGCGCCAACGCGCACAGCGCCAGCCACAGGGTCCTCATGGCGAGCTCTCCCGCGGCGCCTGCGTGCGTCGGGCCCGGGGGAAGTGCTCGCTCCTCCGAGAGCCGCGGCCCCGAGCGGCCGGGAGCCCAGCCCGCCCTCGGCCCGCCCCACCCCCGCCCTGGCTGCGCGCCCGTCGGGGCGTCGGGTGGTGGGTGCGGCCGCCCTGGGCGAGGAAGGGGGAGGCCTCTCCCGGACCCCGCACCTTCCCAGGAAGCACCCCGAACCCTGAGTCCTCCAGACACCAGCATCGAACACCCCACTCCGGAGGAACTGTCCAAAGTGGGGGAGCCTGGGAAGCAGGTGCACCCGGGTCCCAGTGTGATTCCTGGCTTCAGCAGTTGAAGTCTGCAGCGAGTTGTTAGAGTTGTTACAATAGTGGCATAGCCCTTAGGGAGTTGTGCCACTAACCCAGAGGCGGGACTTTACTGGTGGTTTGAATCCACCAGCCGCTCTGCGGGAGAAAGATGTGCAATCTCCTCTAGTGGGATTTACAGCGTTGGAACCCCATGGAGGCTCAGTGGGAAGGAGAGAAAAGGGATGTTTTCACCGAAAAGCTGTGCAGCAAAATAAGTATCAGTGGCATAGGTCACCCTGAATTCATCAGAGGAGTCCACACCACTTTTTTTCCCAGCACAACAGCTGGTCAACACAGAGTCTATGCTGGCCACTAAGGCTCCAGAAAAGGAAGTGGACCAAAGAGGGGTTTGCATAGTGTGCTGCATTCTTTTTTTTTTTTTAAATAAAATTTTTTATTTTATACTAGTTTACTTACAAAATTTGTATACGTTGTTTATCACACTGGATCTTTCCCATTTCCTTTACCCACCCATCCCTCCACCCATCAAATTGTGTGACCCCATGATTAACCTCTGCACCCTGACTCCCAGAGTCCCTTGAAGACAGCACGTTCATGACCTGTGAAAATCTATAGAAGAGCTGTAAACTTCCTGACGGCATCTTGGTGCTGTAGTAATTTGGAATACATTCTACTAATGGATAATTACAGTAAGGCTCTGATAAATCTGTTGAGACTCCACAGAATAGGAATAAAATAAAATTAATTGGGATTTATGATGAAATTTGAGGATGCAACATTCTGAAGAAGTTCGAGGATGTCCACAGTCAAGAGTTTACATAAATTTAACTAAGTTTCCGTACTAGGATGATTCATCTTATGATTCCCTAAGCACAAGTTGAATTTAGTGAGATATAGAGAATATCCTGCTTGTGTACATTTGTTATCTTCCATTGGCCAACTATTGTTGGTTATTCTAGAACGGACCTTCCTGCTTTTAGAAAATGTCACTTTGCATCACTAAATAGGTGATTAATGAAAGCGATGGAAAGGGGCTTTTGCTGTTGTTAGGTGCCGTCCAGTCGCTTGCGACTCATAGCGACCCTATGTACAACAGCCCTAAACTCCACTCTGTCCTGTGCCAATCGCATTGTCTCCCACACCCATCCCGATTATCCCAGTCACTGAATCAATCCACCTCATAGAGGGCCTTCCTCTCCTGCGCTGTCCCTCCACCCTCCCAAGCATGATGTCCCTCTCTAAGGACCGGTCTCTCCTCACAACATGTCCAAAGTATGTTAGACGGAGCCTCAGAATCCTTGCCTCCAAGGAGCCACCCAGTTTAACCCTTTCCAGGACAAATCTGTTTGTTTTCCTAGCAGTCCATGGTACTCTCAATACTCTTCTCCAGCACCACAGCTCAAAGTCCAACTCTGTGATGCATAACAAGTGATTGCGAAAACCATGGCCTGTATCAGACGCACCTTAGTCTCCAGAGAGACACCATAGCTCTTCAGTACTTTGGAGAGGTCCCTAACAGCAGACTTTTCCATGGCAATGCACCTTTTAATTTCCTGGCTACTGGTGCCAAGAGTGTTGACTGTGGAGCCAAGCAAACTAAAACTGTGTACAATCTCAATCTCTTCACCATCCATCCTGATGCTGCCAATTGGTCCAGTGGTGAGAATCTTTGTCTTCTTGACATTGAGCCTCAATCCATATTGTAGGCTGCAGTCCTTGACACTCTGCAGCAGGTGCTTCAGGTCCTCTTCAGTTTCAGCAAGCAGGGTTGTGCCATCCGCATAACGCAGATTGTTGATAAATCATCCACCAATCTTGACCCCACATTTCTCCTCATAGAGCCCAGCCTCCCGGATAAACTGTTCTGCATATAGGTTGAAAAGGTATGGAGATAGGATGCATCCCTGGCGTACACCCTTCCCAGTTTTGAACCATGCTGTGTTCTCTTGAATGTGGAAACTACAGAACAATTTCACTGATTTCACATGCAAGCAAGATTTTACTGAAGATTATCCAAAAACGACTGGAACAGCACATCAACAGAGAACTACCAGAAGTCCAGGCTGGGTTTAGAAGGGGTCGTGGTACTAGAGATATTGTAGCTGATGTTAGATGGATCTTGGCTGAAAGCAGAGAATACCAGAGGAATGTCTATCTGTGTTTCATTGACTATGCAAAGGCATTTGACTGTGTAGATCGTAACAAACTATGGCTGACTCTGAGAAGAATGGGAATCCAAGAACACTTGATCGTTCTAATGTGAAACTTATACTTGGACTAGGAGGCAGTCGTCAGAACAGAGCAAGGGAAAGGGGCTAGCAAATATAAATAAATAGTACTCTGCTTTCTGTTACACTTTTCTCAAGGAGTTCTGTTCAATGATATTTTACAAATAACATCCACTTCAATCAAGTGAATGCCTAGGTGTTCATATACATTTTCTTCCCAGATATATTTTCTGTATCTCACTCTTTCATTAATCAAAAAAATACATACCCTGGAAATGTGATTTTGTTTTCTGTTTTGAATTAATTTAAGACTTTGTGAATTATGTGAGAAACTAAGAGTGGAAGGTTTTCTGCCTCTGTGGGTCTAAGTTCATATCAGAGACTAGATTTGTTTCTGACACCAAGACTTCTAGAGGAATTTTCTTTACTCTTCAGAGAAAAATAACAACATTGTAAAGTAAAATTATGAACTATAAAAAAATGCACTATAAAATGTCACATTAACTTAATGTTACAAGAGTTATATGTGATAAACAGTTGTTAGGTGCCATCAAAACCAACTCATAGCTGACCCTTCAGCGGGCTTTCAAAGGCTGTAAATCACACACAGGGAGATCACCACTCTTTCTCACAGGGAGCAACCAGTGGATTTGAACTCCCTGCCCTTGGACTGGCAGTGCAACTCTTTACCAGTAAGCCACCAGACCTTCCATGATAAATACTGCTGTTGTATCTGCCATCTTGGTGGAACATACCCAGCAGGTTTTTCAGAGGCAATTAATTGTTCTCCCTTGAAACAGCTGGGGAATTTGAACCACTAACTTTAGGAATTTCAGTGAAGCTTCTTATCGCCATGCCACCAGAGCCCCTGGATAAAATACCTGCCAGAAATAAAGTTTAACCAAAGGAGAATGTACTCTTATTTTATTGCAAATGAAAAATCACTAAAAAAAAAAGTTAAAAGTCATTTTGCTGAAGGTCTATACAAATTTTTAGGGTTAAAAAATTATCCCCCTCTATTTCACTTCTGTATTTTTAAAAATCCTTCACCACCCCCTTCAGCTGTTGATAGTTGAAAGGAAAAATTTTTGCCAGCAAATGGTACTCTTCCTCTTGTACAGATTTATTCATGGCTTTGTGCAAAACTCACCCACATAATTTATCCTCTGTCCCTTCTCTAAGGCTGTCTGCTTTAGGAGATGCCTTTGGGCAGCTATTATTCAGTAAATTCATAAGATTCTGGAAACCTTCCAGAAAGATGTAAAGGAAAACTGATCCACTGACAAGTTTATTTTCAAGAGTGAAGCATGAAATAATACAGAAAAGCGAAAGAAGATGAGCTTTGGAATTAAGGGAATTCTAAAGGTGGTGTGTGTTCTTTTACTCCAAATGCCAACTTATACAAATCCTCTCCCTTATTCAAGGAAGCTCCGGAGGGAGGGTCAGCTGTGAATTGCTTCCGACTGGACAGTACACAACAACAACAACAGTTTTTTCACACAAGGATGGAGCTAAAAACCCAAAGCCAAAACCTAAAAATCCTGTGATCTATGCCCAGCTGGTTTGGACTTTGAAATTAGATAAAACTTTTTTTCCCAGTTCTGATTTTGTACTCTTTTGTAATCTCTATCAAATTACTTACTCTCTCAAGTGAAAGGAAAATGCCACTGAAGTCTTGGCAGGGCCAAGTAAATGCTTTTCAACCTGACAGTTCAAGCTCATCAAGGGGTACTTTGGAAGAAAAGTTGATAATTCGTTTGTAAAAGGTCACACACAGCCTTGAACCCTATGAAATACAGTTTTACTCTGTAGCGCATGAGATCTTCACAACTTGGAATTGATTTGAGGCTGTGCAGCTTTTTTGTTTCTGTTTTTGTTTTAAATTGTGTGCAGAGTTGGAGAAAACAAACTTACTCACAAATGACTACTCCTTTAACAGCAAATGTAAAAAGGGATCTCTGGCAAGTAACACTGAAAAACACAAACTCAGTTTCAGCTTGTACTCTCTTCACAGCATCAAGTTATGGCTCTCCTGGAAGATCCAAACCCAGGAAGCCTTTTCTGCAGCACAGGCCAGAAGCAGGAGGACAGCTGACATTTAAAGCAATGAAGTTCACAACCTTACTGAAAACTGCACGCAGTCAAGTCAACTGCACGCAATCAGTGCTTTGTTTTCCGTTCTTTGTGGATATTTGAAGAATAGAAGCCACCCCAGTGATCCTATGTGTGAGTTCAGGAAATAATAAAGATACCTTTAAAAGACTGCCTTTCTCCTGACCCTTTGCATTGAATGCTCTCCAGGACTGATAGACTCACAGGGAGGTGGGGTAGGGGCAAAGAGAAGGTCTACTTGTTCCCCAGACTCTGGCCTGGAGAACTTTGCAGACAGCACCTGTACAAACGATCTCATTCAAACTTGCCCAACCGTGAGGAAAATATTAGCACCCTTGGATAGACAGATGACAGAAAGATGAGAGGTAGAGCTAATTAGCGACAAAACGAGCTAGGACTGAAATTATTCTTTCTGAAATA